GATTCTAGACCACCAATGGATCTTTAACGTACGCAACTTTCACACAGGTCTTCCGAGATTTTTCGCCCTTGTCTGAGAAGGCTAAGTGGTGTAGATCTTTCCTACCATAAGATCATGCTGTGGCTGAAAGATAGCAGTAAGGAGGAGCCAAAGACTAGCAATAGAAAGGCTGCAGAAAGAGTCGGGAGCCCAGAGGATGGGGCAAATGAGTTGAGGGGGTGGGGGCAGAAAGTGTAGACGAAAGCAGACGACAGAACATTGTTAGAGAGCAGGAAAAGATGTGAAAGGAGAACATTTTAGAGAAGAAAATTTCCGTCACCATCCAGATTCGAACTCGGGACCTATTGAAAGAGAGGCGAACACCTTAACCTCTAGGCCACGGGAGCCCCCCACACCCTATTCGGAGGTGTTGAAAGTCTCGTCGGGGCCATATACACCAGGCAACAGCTTGTCATAGGAAGCTGAGTTCTACATTATTATGATTGGTGAAAAAGACTCAAAATACATGTAACAAAAGTAAATGCCTGCTACTGTAAGCTGCACAACTGTTATAGTTGGTCTAGATTGCATTTTATTGGTTTGTTTGTTGTTTGTTTTTTGTATGTTTGTTGCTTGTTTTTTATTTTTTAATATCTTGAGGTTTTCGGGCTCTCAGGTCAAACCAATTTGGAGATAGCTTTCTTTGTACTTTGTAGAGGTGTATATGATATGTTTATGATGTCCCTGTGCTTACTATAGGCTACAATGTTATTATTGATTCCCTCTACGAATGATATCATTATTATTCTTTCATTGCACTCACTACAGGCTACTATTATCATGTCCACAGAATGGCAGAAAAACAGCCCCAGATTGAATGGGCGGAACGAACGAGAGCCAATCAAGGTTTGGTTTAGATTATTCCGTTGTTTGAGGTTTACATTTCACTACCTTAGAATTACAACATTCCATCTAACATTTTTGGTCGTTTTGTGTTCCTAAGAGCATGAGCTCAGAAACCAAATGTTCTGTCTCCTCTATAAAAATCGGCAGATTATTCGGAGTCGTTATCGAGCATTCAAAGAATTGCAAAAAAGGTGAAGGGCCAATTTAAGGTGTGATACTCCGTTCCCAAAGAGGACAGAGCCGGTCATTATAGGAATGATATTGAACTTAATTGCCCTAAACTTTAAATGATAGTTCGACTCCACTCTAATTTAAACTTAACTCACTGCCGTCAGCGGGCGCATGGCGATCTACAACACATTATGCTCTTTATTCATTGAACTATAATTTGATAAACTGTTGCCTGTTGTATAAAACAGTAATCAAGTTAATAATGATTATTATCATCCAGTGCCAGATCTGCGGCAGACATCAGCGATCGTGTTTCTTCATTCCTTCCTTTGCTCGGATGCTCTTAAAAAAGCTACATTTCCCTGATCTTTCTCTGTTACCCATTTGTTTAGGTTTCCTAAGTAGGTGACTCTGGGCCTACCCCTGCCTCGTTCACCTTCAATTTTGCCAGTGAGAGCTAGACGTTCAAGACCTTTATGTCTATTCAGGTGTCCCAAAAACTGCATTTGTCGTTTCCTGATTGTTTTAACAGTGAACGCCCCATATGGGCTTCATCTAGCACAAACTCATTTGATTGTTATTCTTCAAATGATAATGCAGATTATTTCTAGAGCGCCCTTTCCTTTATACAACGTGACAACAGGCCTTCGCACTTAACAAAAACTTTGTCTTAACAGAATGTTGCATTTTATGTATATATTATGTACGTGATCGCTCATACTCACGTGCACACACACACACACACACACACACACACACACACACACACACACACACACAAACACCAACCCACACACACACATACACACACAGAGACACACAAACACCAACACACACACACACACACACACACACACCAACACACACACACATACACCCACACATACACACACACACAAACAAAACAAACACCAATACACACACACATACACATAGACATACACACACAAACACACACACACACACACACACACAAACACACAATCACACACACACGCAAACAACAACACACACAGGGGGGTTAGAACACACACACACACACACACACACACACCACTGACTTAAAACACCCCTCTTCTCTC